CCATTTATTTTATTTTAATAATATATATAATTAATATAGTTTTATATTAATTAACTAAATTCAATTCAATCATATTTATTTATATACCCTTAATTCAACCATAAAAGTATCATTTACAATTATAAAATATAAAAGTATTTGAATATTTTCATTATAATAAATAATATTTTTAGAATTACAACTATTTATTTCAAATAAATCTATTTCTAAGTATAATCATTTATTCTTATCTTGATTGGCGCCAAAATAAAGAATATTTAATATATTGTATGGCAAACCTATTTGATGAAGAGTAAGGACAATACTTAAGATTGAATGCCCTTAAATATCTAGAGAAACCTCCAGAAGTCTAAAGAGAAGATGATCCATTTATTACTAATGGCTCTTTAGCTATTACATATATATTAGTGGAAACTATAGAATAATATAAAACAGGCTAAGGTTTGAAGTTCTAGCCTAGTTATGTTCATTAAGTATTTAGATAGACTAATGAAATTTATGGTTACAAGGATCTTAAGATTACTATTCATGTTACAGCACTTGGATTAAAACCTTATATTCAAGTAATTTCACTTCAAAATATTAACAATAGATATCTTATAGTGAATAGACTGAAGATGCTGATGACTTAAATGAGAGTTTTAATAAAGTATATGAAGCAGGATATTTAACAAATGAAGATCAATTTATTAAAACACTTGAAGAAGAATAAAATTAAGAACCATTAGGAGATTTAATTGAACAATATGAAGATTTCAAAATATATAAATGTTAAACTGCAACAACTAATGGTTTTATTTAATTCAAACCATTTTTATAAGCATTCCTTTTAGTCTTAATTGATGGAGTGTAATATCCAGGTGATGAAAATGAATGGGTTTATTTAATATTATATGAAAACAGATAATTTATAGGATTGACTACTGTCTGTGAGTTGAATATTGCATGGGATAAATAAAGATATCGTTTAAGTCAAATGTTATTCCTACCTTAATATTAAAGAAAAGGACATGGAAGTAGAATGCTTAGAACTGTCTATAAATTAGAATTAGAAGATCAAAAATGTTTATAAATAACACTTGAAGATCCATCTGAAGATTTTTAAGTTATGAGAGACATTACTGATTCCAAAATCTTATATGAACATTTTAAAGATATTATTCCAAATCAAGTTTGAATCTATATCATAATAGGTTATTAATTCTGTTTAAGATATTGTTGATATTCCTAAAGATAAGTTATTTGAAATTATGAAGAAAAATAAATTACATGCCTATTAAATTAAAAGAGCATATTCTATCTATCTATATGCATTTATTAATAAGTATCTAATTATTAATATTTAAGAAAATCTTCAAAATTAATGACAGACTTTGCTAAGTATTTATTAAGAGAACATCAAAAACCTTATGTCAGAAAAAAGAATATTTTAGTTAAATTTGAAGATGGAAGTTCAATGGATCCAAAATAATTACATCTTCTTGAACTCAAAGAAAGAGAAGATAGAAATATTAATGCTGAAGAAAGTTTAGGTGAAGAATTTTGTTTATTTGAACTTATTGCTACCAAATTAAGAAAAGATAAAGTCATTTGAAATTAATACATTTTATATTTATTTTATTTTTATTTTATGAACCAAACTCAAGCTAATATAGATAAAGAATTGGAAAACCTTAAAACATTCTCTAAAAGAGTACTTAAAGAACTCAGAATTAAATCAAATTATGAAGAAGAATAAATGAATTGTAATAACCTTAAAATTGATTTGGAGGAATTTTAATAATGTTGCAAAAATCTCATTGAACTTACTTAAACTTTGAAATTTGATATTAGAGTCAATCAACTCACTAAAAATTAAAGAATAGATAGAAGTAAAGAATATGAAAATTTATTATTAAGTATTAAATAACTAAATCAATGAATTTTATCTAATAATTTCTTTCTAAATAAGTTCTATTATGTTTATTTAAATTATCAATTCTTAAAAGAAGTCCTTAACCCATTTTAACATGTTACTAGTTTATTTTCCACCATACTCAATTTTAGAATTAAACTCAGCATAAATTAAAATTTGGAAACTAATTCAAGAATTTATTCAACTCATTTAACACGAAACTAAAAAATAAGTCAAAACATATAAAATTATTGATTTTAAATAAGATTTAGAGAGAATTTATATCCGAGAAACACTTTAAAAAATTTAAAAATTCAAATATAGAAGTA